CACACATGCACAGCAGAGCAGGTGAGTGCTGCTGGGCTCGGGGTCTCTCTCTCTCTCACAGACACAGACATACACACAAACAGACACACACACACACACACAGAGCCGCTGGGCTCAGGGTCTCACACTCACATTTATAATGAATTGTCCCTCCAAGGCCCTAAGGAGAGATGGCCCCTGCTCATAAAGGGGAAGAATAGATCGAAGAGTAGACTGCCAGGACTGGGGATATGTTAAATGGTAGAATACTTGTCTAACTTGTACAGTGCTCTGGTTCAATCCCCCATAATATCCCTGTTAAAATTGGTTTTGAGCCAGGTGATGGTGGCACACATCTTTAATACAGCACTTGGGAGGCAGGTGGATCTCTGTGAGTTTGAGGCCAGCCTTGTCTACAGAGCGAGTTCCAGGACAGTCAGGTTACATAGAGAAAAACCCTGTCTGAAAAAATCAGAGGAAAAAAAAAATACAGAGCCTGCAACTTTCACCCCAGCACGTGGGAGGCAGAGACAGGTAGATATCTGAGTTCAAGGCCAGCTTGATCTACATAGGAAGTTCTAGACCAGCCAGAGCTACACAATGAAAATCTGCCAGGAGGGAAAAAAAAAAAAGACAAGAGATGGCAAGCTGCCTACATAGCTTCTAAGACCTGTTCTAGGCACAAGAGGTCAGCAATACCCTCTTAACCTGCAAATAACCTATGACATCAGTGGCCATAGCGGCCACTCAAGGCACAGGTCCCACATGGTGTGCTCAGGCTGAAGACTGCACGTGTGTCATGAACTTGCCTTCCTCACAGCCCAGCAGAGCCATAGCTTTAGCCTTTTCCTTCCTGTTTGTTTTTTGTTTGCTTGTTTTGTTGAGATGGGTCTCTCTCTGTAGCCCACGCTGGCCTTGGATTTGCATGCAGTCCTCCTTCCGGTGCTGGAACTACAGACGTGAGCCAGCACGCCCAGCTATGGGACAGTCTTATCAGTTTGTAGATGAAGACACTGGCCTAGAGACATGAGGTCATTGCTGATACATTCCAAGACTCTCAAGTCCTTGCCAGGACTGACATCATGGCCTGTCTCATTCCATGCCTGAGCTCCCACATACCCCCACTACTTCCCAGTGCAGGGAGTTCCTCAGCACAGGGAGTTCCTCAGTGTAGGCTAGCTCTGCCAGGATCAGGAGTACCTTGTCCGTGCATGGAAGCCTGAGAGCTCATCTGAATCTGCCTGCCTCACAGGACCACGACTTCTTGGAGAATGAACAATTCTTCCTGGAAACTCTGAAGAAGGCGCCCTACAACATGGCATACCATTCTGCCTGATGATAGCCAGTGCCTCCTCAGCCAGCCTCCAACCAGAGCTTGCCCCCACTGCTGACCAGCCCCCCCTCCCCGGAAGAGGCTCCTAGCAAGGTGATGCACTACCCAGAGTCTGATTACAGCTTTCTTTGTGGACAGAGTATCTGTGTGTTCTTCCCAGGCTCTATGACCAGCAGCTAAGAGGCAGCAGGTGCCTCCCCACAGCGAGCAGTGACATCAAGGCCATCTTACCACCAATCACCCACTCTTGTCCCATAGTAAAGCCCCAGCTCATCACCCCCTTCTACAGGGCATCCACCAGAGATTCTCATGCCTGGGCTTATCTCAGGGCAGTAGAGTGGGACACCATGAACAGCCTTCTACTTTTCCCTGAGAGGTCCCCTCCCACTTGGGAATACGGAGAAGGGCCTCTGAGCCCCGTCCCATTCCCCTTACTCCCCCATAACCAGCTAGTTCATCCTGAACGCTAGCTCCTTCCTCCCATCCAAGTCTCTACCAGAGGTGGGGATGGGGAGCTGCAGACCCGAGGGTATACAGAGAAGCAGAGGAGGGAGGAAGATTTCGGGAACTGGAGCCTCTGCCTGGAAATAAGGTAGCCCTGGGGCCTGTGAGGGACCACACAACTGAGCCGCTGCTGCTCCTCCAGTCTCTGGTATGCTAAGACCCTCTAGCAGGGTATCAGGAGTTGGCAGGGGAGGGGAAATGATCCAGCAGACCAGGACAGAAGAACTCAGAAAGAAACCACAATTGTTAATACAGCAGCTTGCATTCAGAAGTACTCCTCGCTTTCCACCTGAGCAGGTGTGTCCACGGGAGCAGGGGCAGAGGAGGGACACGTGAAGCTGTGTCCACGGGAGCAGGGGCAGAGGAGGAAGGTGCAAGAGGGTTAGCCAGAGTCTGCCTGTACTCTCCAGAGCTATTTTCAAAGGAACCTAATTCTCTTGGACCCATTAAACTGCTCTATTCTTTGTGATTCTGTTTTGTTTTCGTATTGCTGGGGACTAAACCTGGTACACATAGTGGGTAAATAAATGTTTTTCCCCTTAGTTGCCCTTGAAGCCCATCCATATGTTCCTGTTTTCTGGATCCTTAGAGCTTGCTAGGGCTCACTGGAATGTGTCCTTAGTTACTAGAATGTTTGCCCTGGCCAGTTGTGGCTCAAATGTGTAATTTCTGCACTCAAGTCACTGAAGAAGTGGGATTGCCTTAAATTTGAGATTAAACTGAGCTACAAACATCCCAAGCCAGGTCAGCTGGACTACAGAGTAAGTGCTGGCACACACCTTTAATCCGAGAACTCAGGAGGCAGAGGCAGGTGTTTGAGGCCAGCCTGATCTACAGAGCAAGTTCTAGAACAGCCAGGGCTGTGTTTAGAAACCCTTTCTCAGAAAAAAGGAGAATGAAATACAGTGGTTGCTTTATGCTGCTGTTATTTTGAAAAACAGTCCACAGAACAGGCAGGTAGTCCTGCAGATCTCTGACCTAAAGTGGTCAGGCACAGGCTTCTATGACCTTATACCCTTTCTTCTGGCACCTGCTGTCCTTGGGGACACCTGGAAGTGAGTAATTCATGACTGCCTCAAGGGTGGAAGAGGACACTTCGGGTTGCAAACCCTTGCACAGAATGACAAGTAGCAGGGCCTGGCTTGAGTTCTGCCCAGGCCAACTCTGAAATCCCAAACAGCCTGGTCTTCCTAAGTAGTGAAGCAAGCTGAGACTTAGCAGGTGAAGGCAGTTACCTTGTTCAGGAGTCTGCACGTGGCTGACTGTGGTAGTAAACACCTGTAATCCCAGCACTCAGGAGGCTGACTTCAGGCTTGTGAGCTCTAGGAGTCTGGGCTACACTGAAAGACTTTGTCTCTAAAAAGAGTAAAAGAGGGGGCTGGAGAGTTGGCTCAGAGGTTAAGAGCATTGCCTGCTCTTCCTAAAGGTCCTCAGTTCAATTCCCAGCAACAACAACATGGTTGGTGTGGCTCACAAACATCGGTAATGAGGTCTGGTGCCCTCTTTTGGCCTGCAGGCATACACACAAACAGAATATTGTATACATAATAAATATTTTTAAAAGATTTATTTATTTATTATGTATACAACATTCTGCCTCCATGTATGCCCACACGCCAGAGGAGGGCACCAGATCTCATTATAGATGGTTATGAGCCACCATGTGGTGGCTGGGAATTGAACTCAGGACCTCTGAAAGAGCAGCCAGTGCTGCTACTGAGCCATCTCTCCAGCCCCCCAAAATAAATATTTTTTTAAAAAAGAATAAACGAGATGGTTCCATGGTTAAGAGCACTTGCTGTTCTTGTAGAGGTCCTCGGTTCCATTTCTAGCACCCACATGGCAGTTCACAACCCTCTGTATCTCCAGCTCTAGGATATCTGGTGACCTCTGCTGACCCATGTGGCATCAAGCACACACATGGCGTGCAGACATACATGCAGGCAAAACGCCCATAAAATCTTGAAAAGTTTGAGCTTATCAGGCAATCACTACTCACTGAAGCTTTATGAAGGACATTTGCATTTCTAAAAAATGTGGGTGCCCAAGAGGGCCAGAAGGGCATTGGGTCCCTGACAGGCAGTTGGGAGCCACCAGTGTGGGTGCTGGGAACCTATCTCAGGTCCTTTGGAACAACAGCTTGTACTCTCACCCCAGCGGAATCATCTCTTCGGCCCCACGTTCACATATTTGAAACCCAGTCGTGGCTGTGAGCTACAGACTAGATGAGGGGACAGGAGTGAATATGAGAAGCGTGTGTGTGTGTGAAGACTGCAGTGCACGGGAAGGGACAAAGGGCAGAGCTGCACCTTACTGTGCTCCCTCACTCCTGTGTCAGGTGCAGGAGTGAGGGAGCACAGCAAAGTGCTCCTAGGGACCTGAACATGCATCATAAAGGAAGTCGTGATGAGGAGCCCCAATCTCTGACAGCCTGACATGGTGGCATCACTCTGATGAATGGTGCCCACATGCCTGTAATTCCAGCATTCAGAAGGCTGCGATAAGAGGATTGTTATGAAGTTAGGCTGTGGTGATGCACACCTTTAATCCCAGCACTTGGGAGATAGAGTCCAGCCTGGTCTGCAGAGCGAGTTCCAGGACAGCCAAGGCTACACAGAGAAACCCTGTCCCGGTGGAGGGAGGGAAGGATTGTCATGAGTTCACCCACCGCTAGCCCGACTATAAAATAAATGCCAAGGTAGGTAGGGATACATAGCAAAACCCTTACTGATTTAAATTTAATATTGTTAGAGCTGTTGCTTCTAGTCGGGATGTATGAATTCACACTTGGCTTCTCAGTTGAAATCCAAAGCCCTTTTCTTCAGAGCTTCCCAGACAGGCAGAATGAGAGTGAAGAACAGGCTGCCTGGGTGAGCAGTGAGCTGCCACACTTCCTGGATACCCCGTGTGTCTTCAGCCGTACAAGGGCAGAGAAGGGAGCCTAGAGGCTCATGTACAGCAAGTGAGATCTTCTAAACATCCTGCAGGAAGCCTTCAGTTCCCCTAACACTCGGCAGGAACCATTTCATAAGTTTCAACTCCTCAGGGCAAGGCTCCGGTGTCCCTGACCTGTGAGAGCCAACACTTGTCGGACAGCAGGTGCTCACTGTTGGAGGAATTAGAAGTGATGGTGAGTGCCAAGAAAACAAGGCACATCGAGCTGCAGTAAGACTAAGCACCTCCTCATTAAGACTGGGCAAGGCGACCCAGTGTGAGGAGGAAGGTCCCAAAAGCTAGTAAGAGTCGGAGACAGCCCCTGCTCCTACTGATAGGAGTCCCACAAGAGGACCAAGCTACACAACTGTAATACATGAAGAATGCCTAGGTCGCTGAATAGAAACAGGGGAAGTGGACTGGGAGGTGGGTACAGAAGAGGGATAGAGGAGAGGAGGGAGGGGGAACTTCACCTGGGATGTAAAATAAATAAATAAATAAATAAATAAGAAGGTTTTTTATGTACAAAAAAGTGATGAGCGATCTTTAGCTGTCTGGAAGTAATGACATCTAAGATGTGGTCATTTATGCTGGATGTAGAGACCCCATTACATTTCAGCGTGAGCTGGAGGGTCACACAGCTGCTAGTAAGGCAACTGATTGTCATCAGCCTGGACTTGAGACGTCAAGACTTTCTGGAACCCCTTCGAGGCAGCATAACAGCACTACATGCACCCTGTGGTCTGGGAAGAAGCTGAGGAAGTGAAGCTTTGCTGTACTGGCAGTTCTAGTTCCAGGGCTGTGGCTGGGACAGAAGCAGATAGAGACCACCAGAGCTATGAGCTGGAGACGAGCAAGAGATAACAGATACACCAGCGTGCAAATCCTAACAGATCTAGGAAGTGAGCGCTGTTATCACCTGTTTTATTCCCAACTCTGACTCCAGAATACTCCCTATCAATCCCTGTGTCATGGGATCTCCCGGGTCAAAAACCACAGTTGTTCTTGCTGCCGCCTGGTGGCAACTCTCAGCCCAAGTGCAGCTTGTAGCCTTGCCGCCCCAGGAAACGTTTCCGAGCTTTCAAAATTAAGTCTGGAGATTGAGTCCGGATATTGAGTCCGTAGGGCGGAGCCTTCCGATGGGCGGATCGGGGCCTCTGACGGAGGCGGGGCTGGCCGGGGCGGGGCGGAGCCTCCAGTAGGGAGCGCAGGCTTCTCGCTGGCCACCTCTGTCTGGGTCCTACGGACATCCCTGGCGTCCTGGGGAAAGATGGCGGCGCCCTGGTGGCGTGCAGCGTTGTCCGCGAGCGGGAGATGCCGGGGCTTCAGCACCTCGGGTGAGTGATGTGGGCTTAGGGAGCTCTTGGGGTCCTGCAGTCCCAGCCTTGGGCTTCAGCCGGGACCTGGAACCGGCGTGACACCCCGGTCTCTGCCCGCAGTGCCCCTCAGCCGCCGGACGCCCCCTCTCGGGCCTATGCCCAACGAGGACATTGACGTGAGCAACCTGGAGCGACTGGAGAAGTACCGGAGCTTCGAGCGGTACCGCCGCCGGGCGGAGCAGGAGGCGCGGGCCCCGCACTGGTGGCGGACGTACCGGGAGCATTTCGTGAAAGAGACAGGTGCGGGTGACGGCCGCCGAGCTGGGCGGGCTGGAGACCCGGTGACCGAGTAGCATACTCTCCCCCAGCTTCGGCCCCTGTGTGCTCCCGGGACGAGGGAGGGAGGATCTGCTTGCACTCCTTAGAGTTCCTTCTAACTCGTGGACCGAAATCCTTTCCTGACGACTCCGCCCCCGTTTCGTGTTGGAGCACCTCTCTGTGTTCCTAATGTGCTCTGCCACACCGTGTCCTGCCTTCCAGCCTCCCCGGAGTCGCTACCCTAAGCACAGAATCCTTGCCTGTCTTGCCTATCATTGGATCCTTGCACCCACACGGTGGGAAGCCTGGGAAAAGTGAGTTAGGGACTCAACTTTAAAGAATTTGCTCTTAGTGTGTATTACTGTTATTTTTTGAAGCAGGATCTTGCAGGGTGTGATGGCCTGCAGTAAACTGTAATCTAGACTGGCCTCAGACTTGCAGCTATCCTCCTGCCTTAAGAGAATTTGTTGTTGTTGTTTTGTTTTGATTTGTTTGGTTTTTGGCATTCACCAGTACACGAAGCTAACATCCTTTTAGCCGAGTGGGCGGTAGTGGTATTCACCTTTAGTCCCAGCACTCAGGAGACAGAGGCAGGGGGAAATCTCTGTGAGTTCGAGGCCAGCCTGGTCTACAGAGCAAGGTCTACGACAGCTAGAGCAGTTACACAGAGAAACAGAGAAACCCTGTCTTAAAAAACAAAAACAAAAACAAACAAACAAAAAGTTTATTATCTGTATGTGTGTGCATATGTCTGTAGGTGTCCACAGAGGCCAGAAGAGGGCATCCGTCCCTTGGAGTTATACTTCCAGGCATTGGTGAGCTGCCCAGTATCACTGCTGGGGTTCAGATCATGGTCCCCAGGATAAAGCACCTAGTTCTCTGAACTTCGGCTTAACGTGTGTACTGGGTGGTTTCATGTGTCAACACACAAGCTGGAGTCATCAGAGAGGAAGGAGCCTCAGCTGAGGAAATGCCTCCTTGAGATCCAGCTGTAAGACATTTTCTCATTTAGTGACCAATGGGGGAGGGCGCAGTCATGGAGGTGGTGCCATCCCTGCCCTGCTGGTCCTGGGTTCTATAAGAAAGCAGACTGAGCAAGCCGTGGGGAGCAAACCAGTAAACGGCTCCCCTCGGTGACCTCTGCATCAATTCCTGCTGCTAGGACCCTGCCCTGTTTGAGCTCCTGTCCTGAATTCCTTTAGTGATGAACAGCAATGCTGAAGTGTAAGCCAAATAAGCCCTTTCCTCCCCAGCTTGCTTTTTGGTCATGGTGTTTCATCACAGCAATAGAAACCCTAAGTAAGACAACATGCATTGTGTGATTTAAAGAGGTGGGGTTTTGTTTTTCTGTTGTTGTTGTTTTTGTTTTTTTGAGACCAATTTCTCTGTGTAGCCCTGGCTATCCTGGAACTCAATCCGTAGGCCAGGTTGACCTCGAACTCACAGAGATTCACCTGAGAAAGAGGTGGATTTTTTTGTTGCTAACTGTTGTTATTCCTTGTAGGGATCAAACTATAGCCCAGTGCATGTTAGGCAAGGGTTGTACCTCTGATGGACGTCCTCAGCCCGTACAAGCAATGTCTGTGGTGTTTAAGGACACGCGCCTGAGAACAGCCTGATTTAGACCCCAGCTCCTCAGAGGGCTGACATCCTTAATCTTCAGTGGCCTCAAATGTATTTATTGTTGAGAAACAGTAGCCCTGGCTGGGTTGGAATTTGCTGTGTAGACTGGACTTGCCTAGAACTGACAGATATTCCCCTGCCTCTGCCTCCCACTCCTGGCTCCTCAAATGTAAATTGAAAATATTTTTCTCACCAAACTGAGATAAGGAACAGAGGATGCAACCCACTGACATTCCCAGGCTACTGTCACTGGAGACGAGGGTTCTGTGCATGTGGTGTCTCAGTAAATAGATAAGTGTTGGGTTGAAGGTTCAACTCTACCCCACAACCAACAGCACAGGCATTCCCTAAGAGCCGCCCAGTCATGTGGTCTTGAATGGGTCAAAGTCTGAATTTAAACAAACTTCCAAGTGATGTATGAGTGGTTTATCTGCCAGTAAATGTGAGACTCAACCGGGCACGCCTTTAATCCCAGCACTCGGGAGGCAAAGGCAGGCGGATCTCTGAGTTTGAGGTCAGCCTGGTCTACAGAGTAAATTCCAGCACATAGAGAAACCCTGTCTCAAAACAAAACAAACAAACAACTACAAAAAAAAACCCAAAAATGTATGACATTGTTTTATTTTCTGGTTTTTGTTTTGTTTTTGTTGCTGTTTGAGATAGGGTCTCATTAACGAAGGCTGACCTCGAACTCACTATGTAACTGTGACTCTGAACTTCTGATTATCTTATCTGCACCTCCCAGGTGCTGGTTTCACAGCTGTGAATCACCAGGCCTGACTGGAGACGAGGGTCTCACTGTGTAGAGAAGGCTGGCCTCAACCCCGAGATCTACCTGCCTCTGCCTCCCAAGTGCTGGGATTAAAAGCATTTCCAGTAGCTGGGGAGCCGTTTCTTTAAATCTGCCTGAAATTGTTACTGACCCTACTTAAGACTGGGGTGTATATGCCTGACCACCTTTGAATTACTCTTTTGGGGGGGGGTCAAGACAAGGGTTTGTATTTCTGACTGTTCTAGAACTCAGCTCCATAGCCCAGGTTGACTGCCTCTGCCCCCCAAGTGCTGGGATTAAAGGTGTGCTCCACCACCGCCTGGTTGTAACTCAGGTGGGGCGGTGATGGCGCACACCTTTAATTCCAGCGCTTGGAAGGCAGAGACAGGCTGATCTCTGTGAGTTCAAGGCCAGCCTGGTCTAGTTACAGGACACCCTGTCTCAAAAACAAAAAAAAAAAAAAACTAAGGACAGTGGAGCAAAATACTCCAAGTCAACTTCTGGCTTCCACATGAGTCAACATGCACACAGACACACATGTTCATATTTAAAAGAAAACAAAACAACTGGCTCTGCTTATCCCAACATAAGCATATCTTCCTTCTAGATCCCAAAGACAGAATTGACATTGGACTGCCCCCACCTAGGGTCATTAGGACCCAACAGCTACAAGAGCGGAAACACTTTATCCGGGAGCTCCGAGCCAACGTGGAAGAAGAACGGGCAGCCCGCCTTCGCACAGGTGAGCCTCCCAGAAGAGGGGTCCCAGGTGCATGCTCTTCCCACTGTATTCAAACTGTACTGTTCCTCCTCAGCCAGCATCCCGCTGGACGCAGTGCGGGCCGAGTGGGAGAGGACCAGTGGTCCCTACCACAAGAAGCGTCTGGCGGAGTATTATGGCCTCTACCGAGACCTGTTCCACGGTGCCACTTTTGTGCCCAGGGTCCCCCTTCACGTGGCTTACGCTGTGGGAGAAGAGGACCTGATCCCCGTGTATCATGGCAATGAAGTGACTCCAGCAGAGGTAATGCTTGCCATCCCCTTCCGGCTCTGTGTACGTGGGCACACACACCGTGGTGGGCACACACACTGTGGCATCACTCTGTCTAGGCTTAACGTTTGGTTATTCTACCTTTGATTTCCTGAAAATCAACATCATGAAAGTCACAGAAATAAGACAGAGAGAAGCACCATGTGTTCCTGTTCTCTGAGCCGCCACTGTCTTTGGAGTGGCCTCCATGTCTCTTGTCACATGGTTCTTAAAGTTTGGATCTCAGGATGAGCGCCAGGCAGTCTATAAACGCCCCTTTCCCTATCAGTGTCTGAGGAGCTGTGGGGTCCTGGTTTGAGTCAGCGTAGGCAATCCCTTCTCCAGGCCCTGCAAGCTCCAGCCCTCTACAGAGAAAACAGTTTTCACTTGGTGAGGGTGAGCACACCCTTAATCTCTTCCTACTAGGCTTCCCAGGCCCCAGAGGTGACCTATGAGGCGGACAAGGATTCCTTGTGGACACTACTACTTACCAATTTGGGTAGGTGTCGGGCCACCTGGCCTCCAGCCTCCCTTCCCTGAGCCAAGAACCCGGGGATCTGGGCAGGTGGCACCCTCCAGGCCTGGCTCCTTTAAAAGGACGTTCTCTGTGTTTCTGTGCAGATGGACACCTGCTGGAGCCAGATGCCGAATATGTTCATTGGCTGCTGTGAGTGTCTGGGTGGGAAGCCAGCTAGGGGATTCCAGGAGGCCCTGGGATTCAGATATGTACTTGAGCACAAATACAGGAGAAAATGGCAGAAGCCAGGTGTGGTGACACCTGCTTTTAATCCCAGCACCCTGGAGGCATAGGCAAACAGATCTTTCTGAGTTTTGATGTTATATATTGAGACCCTGTCTCAAAAAAAAAAAAAAAGAAGAGAAAGTGCAGTAGGCCCTGGCTAATCCTCACAAGCATCTTCATTGCTCTGAGCTATTTATTTTCTGTCCTGTGAAACTGGCAATGTCACTGCAGCTTTTCCTACCCAGGGGTGCTGTGACCGTGAAGAGGACCAGGAGCTGCTCCTGGTGGCAGTAGCTCTGCAAACACTCAACCCCTGCTTCTGCCCTGAGCACAGGCCAGGGGCAGAGGTCACGCAGGTTCCATGAGCTTTGGGATCCCAGTAACTGGGAAGGAAGCTGACTTCTGCCTTGCCGTC